GAATAAACACACACGAGTGAAAAGTAATCGATCAAAGCGATTCTTCGTGTCTAATAATATTTCTTATGAATTTTTCCAATTCCAGTAAACTAAACGTGAGACCATCATAGAGATCAACATTCACCAGCGCTTGCAACGCAATGTAAATGCACGCGTATATATTCATCCACTAATTCCTAAAGATATTCCGACGCGCAATTTCGCGCACATTTTCGAGGGAAATCCAGATATCTTTCGTCGAGCGACGAGACGTAAAAAAAACGGAGCGACCGCACCGCGATGATATAGAAGAGGCGAATCTGTGGGGAGACTGTCGCCAAGAATAACGTCGGCGGGATACTCACTAGGAAGTTTCCCTCTACACGGCGCTACATCACCCGCGCCGCGGCGGGATGGACGGGCGAGGAAGTCACAGGAGGCGCCGCACCGGCGGGGACATGATCATCGCCCTTCACGTTTCCCTCGGGGACGGTGCAAGGACGTGCGAGTATCGATCTCTCGCGCGCGCTGCAGCAGGTGTCACACGGCACCAGCTGTCGTGCTTCGCACTGCAAAGGCGGCAACCACGGCGACGATGACGACGACGGCGGCGACGAGGAGAGAAAGAGAGGGGTCCTCCGCGGCACGGGGGAAAAACGAAGCGGGGATGAAAACACACCCTCAGGAACGCGGGTCGCGCGCGCACGCGCGCGCCTCACGCTATCTGGGTCACGCGGCGCCGCGCGGGCGCGACGCGCGATCTCTTCGCGCTCGGCTCGAGAGTGCGGCCCGCGACGACTCGCGTCGCCGACGATGATGCGGATGCACGACTACTTCCGCGTCCTGAACGCCGATCGCGTAACTTCGTGCCGAACTTATCATTTTCCGTTCATTCCGCTTCCGCGCGTCAACTTTGCACTAATCATGTAACGGGATACGGGTCGATTAATACGGGAATGATCACCTGAAATATTTTTATATGTCTCAGCTGCGAAAAAAAAATGTGAAATGTTAACTATTGTTTTCTAGGTCTTGTATAGAAATTTAATAATGGAAGATGGTGATTAGAGTTACCTATATATTAAAAGTACTGTTCAGTGTTTTTAATATCTATCTCAAAATAAGTAATATATATTTTCAGTATTATATACTCGTAAATTAGATTTCTGTCAGAGTTTAATATATTTTCCTCTTTTTTAATAAAATTATTCTTTGCGAACTTTTGAATATGTAATTCCGTCGAAAATCCGCAATCAGAAAGCATTATATTCATTACAATTTTTATTTTTTTTAAAATACTGTCATAATAAATTATTTAACGTGCATATGTTCCATTTAACATTTATTCAGTGTTTTTAGTCACTTTTCAGAAATTGTAGTTAACTTCATACGATAATGTTTTCAAATACTAATAAATTAGAAAACACTCGATAATATATGATACGATGTATTATTAAGAATACTGATTTTAATTAGAGTATAAAAACACTCCAAATAAAAAAAATCAGGTGACTGTGTTTCCAGATTAACATACCGATGACGCAACTGTCGCATTATGGCTTACCACTACAAAAAGCGATTGATGCGATATCATTAATGTATTGTTATATGTTAAGCTTCATCATTTCATTGGTTTCTGTCATAGAAGAGCGCCTTTGTTTAGCTATTAAGAAAAATTAGAATGGTATAAATACTTTTACACACCAATGGACAATGGTTTTTAATTTTTACGCTGCTAAAATACATTAAACTATAAATTATAGCAAAATTTATTAGTGACTTCTAATGATCTTGTCATGTCTGAAAATGTTGTCGGCAATAAATGTATCAAAGAGTTACATAATTGTGCGAAATGTTGAGTTTGAGTTTTTCATTTTTCATCGGTTTTCCTAAATCCCTTTTTTTCAAATGGATATAATGAAGAAAAATTCATACAAAGGAGAGGATATTTTGCAGAGCTTTTAAAAAAGAAGATGGCGAAAAATCGGTTTTTATTCGCAAACACTTAAACGAGTCGATAAATTTTAAGGCTTTATTAATGGTATTTTATAGCACGTTAAGATTGTCTTAAATATGATTTTAAAATGCAATCATTTTGTTATAGACTGATTAAAGTGTTAAGATCATCTTAACGTCTAATACGATTCTGCGATTGATTTACATATATATCTTTTAAGATGTCATAAATCACAGAATTGTATTAGCATTTTAAGGCATTATAAGACTATACTTAAGACGGTCTTAAATATAAAAATCAACCATGAATATCGATTTTAAAACAATCTTAAATATAAGATCGGATTATAAATACTATTCAAAGCAAAATAGTTAAATTAATAGCGCAAATTAATGGTGACACGATTCTTTGCAATGTCGCTATTTCTGCAGTAAACGCGCATAACTGCCTGCTGTCTATGTTTGAATCATTTGAATGATGTATATATTATAGATTTATGAACGAATGCATGATTTATGATTTTTGTCAATAACAAGCAATTTCAAATTTTATAGTAACATTAACGACACAAGGTACTTGCCAGGCTCTTCTCAATTCTTCGAAAAGAATCCCATGTCGCATCCTCTTCTACATTTTGAGAATGAATACCACAGGCACGCCTCAAGCTGATCATCTTCAATATTAGAAGAATATTGGTGCAGACAATTGATTACAATAAGGCGCGAGCCGTTCGATTGCAGCGTTATTGTGAAACGCATCCTTGGCCTAGAATGGCCTAGATTGTCAAGAGATCTCAAAGAGATATATTGCGAGAGTCTGGTTGCGCGTCGATCTTCTTCACTGTTCGCGACAATAATGTTTCGCCGATCGACCAGATCGCCGATTTTGCACTGTTTTCTTCTGTCGTGGACCCTCTCAACTTTATTCCGCGCGCAAAAGCCACCACCTGCTGGCGCGGTTACGTGCTACGACGTTTTTACCTTAAAGCAACGTCGGATATACGCTCGAGCATGCGCCTCTGAAAGTGGGTCATTAGGAGCTTGACCGAAATCTCTTCAGCCAGGATTTCGCGCTAGTTCCTTAAATTCGCCGATCGTTAATCGACGAGAAGCGGTGCGTGACTTGCGCGTTTTGCACGGTGTGTCGAAGGACAATCCTCGCGATTGTTTTCGTCGAATAAGAGGATAAATCACTTTTGTGTTTACTCTAAATAACGAAAGAAATAATTACTTGACAATTTTTTATACTACAAAAAAATTTTAATTATATTCTATAAGAATCTTTGTTAAAATAACATTTAAAATTTTATGAATATTTATAAGACAACATAAATAATGCTTTTTGTCAAATCTCTTCTATTATAATAAATAAATAATTAAATGGCTCTTATATCATAAATTTATAAACCCGTGCTGAATACATGCATAGAATTATTAACACTAGTACATTTTGCACGTATTTTAAAGTTTATTTTAAGCACGTGCTTCTCGTCAAAAAATATTTTATATAAATACTTACAATATAATAATAATAATAATAATAATAATAATATACTCAGTGGTTCTTCAGCATTCTCTCTCTAAAAGATTTTTAAAGATAATTCCTTACATTTATTGTATGTTCGAAATATATAGCTTATTATTATAATTTCAAAAATATAATTATCAAAACTGAAGGAAAAATTATACTTTATCACAAAATGTCAAAAGTCACTCAGGTTATTTTAATGAAACTTTGAAATATAGTTTCAATTTTTAAATACATATAATAATAAAACTGATATATGTATAGTTTTACACACACACATACCACACGCTCGCGTGTATGTGTGTACAACACATGTTCACACGTTTACAACTAAGAGGTTCTGCTTAATAACGCGACATAATGTCTACTGTTGTTGAAATTATGCTAATGCCAATTATGTGCAATTGCAATATTCAATTTATCTAGATCAAGTTACTTGGAAGAGTAGGCTATCGTTTATGAGATACACATTGCGAATGGATGCCCCGTTTTTATGTCCACTAATATCATCAAGCACTTGTATAATATAAGAAAAAGAAAAATAATTTAATAATTAAAAGATAATGATTTATAATATATTTTTATTATGAGTTTTATATAATCTCTCTTATACTTTATTTTTCTTTCAATTAATAATAAATGTACGTAGCACAAAAATATTACTCTATTTGTTATAATATATTATTAATACTATGCAAATAAATTAATCGTTGAACAAATACGCCGGTGTATCCTTTTTTCGATCTCTTTGATCACCGTTTGTTGAATTTTCAACATCAACTAGAGTCATAACGGTTTCCAGTTAAGAAAAAGAAGAATTTGAAATACAGACGATGCAACACGTTTATTTAGTTTTAGTCTTGGCGTGCAGTTGCAAAATTTAAGTTACTTGCTTGAAAATCTCTCCTCAGCTTAAGTTAATTATTTATGAATGTTTAGTTAATTCTTATGTAAAATAAAAAATCGATTTGTTATTAGCTTATTTACTTATATTACTTGAATTATTCGAAATACATGCATTATTTATTTTGTAATTCCGTTTCTATTAGAAATGAGTTAAATAGAATTTAAATAATGTAAAGAAATATACTTAAATTTATCCTGAAAAAAAAGTTTTATGGTTATATAAAATTATATATAAAACATCTTTTCTCCATTTTTTTATTTATTTATTATATGCAAATAGAATTATACAAATAAATTTAGAAGTATCATAATGACTAGGCTGGGGCCACAACCTCACTTTAAGAAGCCCTAAGCCGTAAAGCCGTAAAAAATTGACCAATCACAGTAGATTATTTTTCTCGCATTCAACTATGATTGGCCAATTTCTTATGGCTTTACGGCTTAAGGCAATTCTTAAAGCGAGGTTGTGGATCCAGTCTAAGTACTGTACTTGTGGTTGAAATAAAATCATTAAGTTGTTTATTTCACAATTATCTAATTTTTTTATTGTCAGAATGAGGATTAAACCTTGACAGAGGATGTATTTATTATTATTATTTGCAAAATTGTTGTAAGAATATTCGTAATCCATTTATATGGAATTATTCTCTTGGATACATTTATTGATCCAATCCCGATAGAAGTAGACTCGCGTGAATATATCTGGACGTCCTTTAGCGCAAGGTATTCCCCAGGATACCACGCCTATCTGCTCATTGTCAGCTACCAGAGGACCGCCAGAATCACCCTACACATATAAATAATATAATAAATTTTTTCTTGTAAATGTTGTTCTGACTATTTTTAACAAAAATTAATTATAATTGCAATGTATATTGCATATACATATAATTATCGAATTATATTATGTATAATTAAAAATATATTGTGATTAAATTAACATATTCGATGTATATTTTATATTTAAAACATATTATCTTTAAGAATAATGTCATAATATATTATATTGTCTTTATACATTAAAAAATATACTGTTTCTGTAATTAAAATAATTTAGAGTTTTTCAATTAAGCATTTAATATCGTGCTAAATGCTATTAATATTTGTAAAATGTATGTGTATTATTGATATCATGCGTTCCCTCATGACGAAAGAACTCTCTTCCTGAATACTCAATCAGATTAGTATTTACTTACATGACAGGCGCCTTCGCCCTGTTTGTTGAGTGTGCAGATATTAGCGTTGGTAACGCGAAAGCTGCTAGATGCGCACTGCTTTTGATTCATGACTGTGAGTTGAATATGGTGTAAATCGTTTGGCGTGTTTCCCGGATACTGTAATAACCCACATATAAATAATTTATATAAATTAACCGGAAAATAATAATCGTTAAAATTAATTCATCAATTTTAATTATTTTAATAATATAATTTGAATTATCAAATAATCATTTAAATCCACTTCATTATTTAATTAACAACAACTGAGTGTCTCAAATGTATGGAAAACGGACAATTAGTTTTCTTATAACTTAAGTGCGTTTTTTAAATTTAATTTACAACGCGCTGTAAATTTTATTTTATCTTTTTTTTACAAGTATCGAACAATAATGATAAAGCTTACAGCACGTGAGCGTGAAAAACGAACACACAGCCCCATTATAATTTATAGATATGTATTTATAGATATATATAGCCATTCTAATTTTAGATATTTATAGATAATTAATAATTATTAATAGATAATTTTAGATAATTATTGATATTTATAGATACAAGGCTAAAATTTTTGTGTCTTTCAACATAACAATAGATAAGTATTTTATATTTACACTGGTAGTACCCCAGCCTGACAGTGTGGCCGGATAATTGGATTTGTCAAAGTTTTTGGTGGGCAGAGCAATTGATTTCACTTTGTCTCCAAAAACGATATCCTTGTTCACTTTAATTAATCCAACGTCATTCCAGATGAGGACGGAATTATAGTAAGGATGTACCAATTTCTTGATCGATAAGTATTTATCACCGCCTTTGTTTAGAGTGTTAGTGCCCAATACAACAGTGATAGCCGTGTCATTAAAACTATACATAAAATAAAATTATATATAATAAAATTAGCCGTACATAACAATTCTCTCGAACAACTATTTTTTGCCATAATATTAGATTTATAATAAAAAAATTTTGAGACTTATTTGAAAAAATATGATAATATTAATTATATATTGTTATTAATTACGTATTTAAGCACGTAATTAATTATACGTGCGTTAGAAAATTGTGGAATGTCTTGTTTAATTGTTAAATATATTTACTATATGTAAAATAATATATTTTAAGAACAGTTGTCGCACATACCCAGTCAAGCAATGAGAAGCTGTAAGGATCCATCTATTATTTATTACGGAACCTCCACAGAAGTGATTATCGTTAATACGAAGTGATGCTTGATAAGGAAATTGTCCTTCATTGGCAGGTTTACCGCCTACGATTTTCGTGATTTGTTGAACTGACTCGTCAGCTAAGTAATTATAAAAAAACTTTATATAAAAAAAAGGCTCTGTAATATTTTTTTATTTACTTAAAATAGAATCATGTTCAATATTTATTTGTTTAGCATCCATTAATTTTCATGTTTTTATTATTGTTTAATTTAATAAATTAAAATAAGATTTTAATGTATAAATAATGTATAAATAATGTATAAATAATGTATAAATAAATTACATCACACACTAAATTAATAATTAATACAATAAATTATTAAATTATTAATAATAAATTGCAATAAATAACAAAAAATAATAATATGTAAAACAAATTTTTAATTTTATTCTGATTTTAATTTGTTTATTGTCAACATCTTGAAATGGATCTCTCTTCGCATTGTTCTAATTATATATTAATCATAATTGTATTTTTATACAATTTTACAAGGTAATTGATTATCATTTAATTTAATTGTTACTAAATTAACAAAATGGATGTGTAGTTACTTGCAATATATTGTAATTTCACATTATATTCATTTTAATTTATTGCCTTGAGAATTGACTTTTTTACTGATTAATTGACTCTTACATTATATTCTTTTCTTTACATTCTTTATTATTTATATTCATTACTGACACTGTTTTATTATTTTACTATTTGATTTAGAAATGTGGAGCTTTTACATTATTTAATGATTGCTTTTTGTCGGACTCTTGCCAATTTGCGCCGAGATGATTAAGTCTTCAATAGCGAGTGAGATTAAATACTCACATCACAAAATTTATATACTTATTTTTCGTATTTTATAATATTTTTACACATGTATTCGTTTTTAATATCATATTCTGTACATCGTTAACGATATCTTGCGATTTTTTAACATTGATAATGACCTAATAAAGGTCGAAACGTCTCTGTTTTTAAATTTTATTAAACTTTATATTTATTTTTAACTAATGACATTTTATATTTACTAAGACCTTTATATTTTAACGAATGTTGGCTCGTAGCCCTGTTGTTTTAATTATTTTTTAATTTTATTTAATATTTACATATGGATTTAATTTATATGTTATTTAATATATATAAAACTAAGGATGCATTCGACTAGTATCTGATATCTTTTCAACGATATATGCAAAACTCAAATTTTATATTGAAAATGTTTTGTTGACGTCCATCGTGGTGCGAATATCCTGAAAACTTTCATTATGGCTGCTATATTTCTAAAAATGTATATCAATGATAATAAAAGTCACATATATTGCCAGAAACCACAGATACTAACCAGATATCCGGTGCATCTCTAAATAAAATCATTTTCAGCGAAAATGATTTTTATGACAGTTGAATTTTACAACAATTTATTACAAATTTAAGAACCAAAAAGAAGAGACTCTTCATTATTAATTAATATTTATTAAATATATGTGCTAAAACACATACAAAAAAATATCAATTTATAGAAGTATATATAGGAGTCTTAATACCTATATTCTTACCTGACAATTCATGTATTGCAATAATACTTAAGACGCAGAGTATTGGCAACATTTTTAGTACACAATAAAATTAATCAGTAGAGCTTTACTTTGTTTTCTACAGTGTTTGATGATTTAGTGCTAATTAATTTTTACACTCGTTTACCACCAGTTCTTATATACGCAGTAAACGATGATAATTAAGGAAACGTTGGGCATTTAAATTTAGGTCAGACATCGGACATAAAAAGAAAATGCATTGTCCGGATGTATCTCATGTACGATGTGATAGGGTAAGGTGATATGCTGTCACGCCAGTAGCTACGAAAATTTATAGCCGGATATAGTTGCTATCGTTGTTGTACAAAAAATGTGTATTGCTGAAATAAATTGCAATTTAAACGCGATTTGGGTTGAGCGATAGAGATAGCAGTGATCAATAATTAATAATAATATATATAATATAAAATCTAAATGTATTGAATTATCAAAATTGATGTAAATAATCTGCTTATATATATATTTTTTATTTTTATGAATTTAATAATAAAATAAATAAAAGCATTTGCATATACTTATTTTCTCTCTCTTCGCACATTTTTATATATTATTATTATGATTCTACGCATTTGGAATTATTTGTAATAAATCTATGAAATTATTTTATTAAAAAAATGTTTTTCCCTTGTGTTGTTTTATCATTTTCATTTAGATATGTTTAAAGAACACAACTTAAGGCAAAATATAATTACATAATATTTAAAATTAGACACTAAAATGTAAGCATGTGACATAGATAACAATACAAGATAATTATTTTAGACATCTTGTGTTCAAAATAATGGGAGACAAATTTATATTTTATAATGAGCGATCCATTGTCTTTTAAGACATCTTTGTATTTTGTGAGATATTTTAACATCAAATCTGTAAATTTGATGTGACTTTTATTACGAAAATTACAAAGAAGACAAATTAAAAATTGTATTAGCTGAAGATGACTCCAAAGAGAGTCGAAACGTTCTGTATTTATGTGGAATAAATTTGAATAATCAATAAAAGTGAATAAATCCACTTTTTACTGATTGCGATATACCAACAACAACGCTGCATTCTCATTCGCCCCATGTCAGGAATACATGGTTTTTTGAATCAAGAGGGTTCGTAAGGAGATTACGTCTCTAAAATTAATTAAAGAAACCTATGATATATGTATATATATATATATACACGCGTTTAAGTCCAATTAACTCATCGAATCAATATCGATGATTCTAACGGCAATTCGATATCGATTCGACGTATAATTGGCTGTCGATTATTTCTTACACGCGTATTTACTTTCACTTATTGTAAAATATGAAATTAATGTATAATTAATTAATATAAATTAAAATTCATAGGAAATATATTGGCGATACTTTTAAGATTACGTTCTGCATGTTTATGGAAACTTGAGCGATAATTTTATTCAGTATTACGAATTTGTGGCAAGCAAAACGTGTTATATTCCGCGATAATTTTATATTTCGCATAATCACGTCATCAGTTATTCAATTTTACGGCGAGCGATATGCGCCAGGGATATTTATAAAATTCACTTCAACCTCACACACATGCACTTATCTCGTATCTCCTAATACATTTGCCAAGTCTGGTGATTCGATAACGTATGTATATCTTTAATAATATGTTAGTATTCTGACGCATTTTCTTAAAAATTCAACGAATTACTTTGGAAAAAATACTAAAGAAAATACAATAAAATAATAAAAGAGGATAAAATGAAGAATTAATTTAAAAATAATATCGAGAAATCTTATTTTATTCGTACAAATGCCGAACGAGTTTATATTTTAAATATCTAAACTTTCATTTGTTTTTACGATTTAAATAAATATAATGTATATGTATAACATCATATTATAAAATTATACGATCGTTTATCTTCCTATATTCGTTTATCTTACTATATCGATTATCTTTATTGCTGACCTTTGGAAGAAAGATTGAAGGTTACAATTCTCTTTCGTAAAATATGTAAATGCCTATATAAATACTTAACTAACATATAATTATACAAAGGAACACGTCGGAGGCAGGTCGCAGAATTAACAGACACAATAATGTTTGCATTTTAAGTTTTTTTTTTATTAAAATAAATCGAAAATAACGCGAATTGCGACGTTGCATTATCAAAAAGTCAAAGCCTACATATCGCGCTGAAACTGAAACACTCGCATCAATTCGCACCAACTCGCATCGATATCTGACATATTGTTATTCCAAGCGCGGAGTTTTGTGTTTGATCTCGACTTCGACGTTGACCCGTGTATGGTGTTTCGCAACGCCCGTAATCCCGCCTAAACGAAGTCCGTATAAAATATGCAAATGGGTACTCACAACCAGAAATTAAAAATAAAGACACCGTTTCGCTTATATTATAACGATAAAAATAAATAAAAATAAACAAGCTCATAGCAGAGCCTTTATCATGTGCTATATCGGATGCGTTCGGTTTGGGCATTTATGCGTTGTGAGCCTCATTCGATCTCCTTTCCGCAAGAAATATGACAAAGATAGAATGAAACTTACAGCATGTGTGAGTGCTCAAACCGAATGTAGCCATTGTTTCTTTGCTCTCCCTTTTTTCTTTTTTTTCTCTTTAAACAACGCAAGCAATCTTAGTGAATATTATTTTATGTAGCAAATATAAAAAAAGCTACATTATTTCAATTCATTACCTGTAGACTCCTTTGTCCATAGATAACAAATGTTCTTTAAGTATCTGTAGAAAGTAAAATTGTAACTTTCGCGTAAAAGTCCTGTATCACGCAATATAGATGATGTTTTTGTGATATACGTGTATACATACACACACATATACATATATAGGATGTCCTACACTCAAAATATTATAGCAACAAAGTTTTTGAAAACTCAAGTGAAAAATTTACAAGTAAATTATTTTATAGACAATTATTTATTTATATATATATATATATATATATATATACTGATGAGTACGCATTTCAGTGTGTTCACTAAAAAGCTGCGTACAATCGAAGGAAAGAAAGAATAAGAAATTCGACCTATTAGAAACTGTGTATTCCAGTACATGGTCTCTGAGTTGGAATTTTTATTCTCTATTCCCTCTTCTTTTGATCGTTCGCATATCTAATACTATTACTGGTGTTCATCTAAACATAGTCTGTAACTGGCCATATTTAAACTCTTGTATCTCAGAAACTATTATTTAAAATAAAAGTTTACAAATAATTTTACTTAATTTTTTGAGAACTTTTTTGTGTAATATTTTGAGTCGTAAATTTTAGGATATCCTGTGTGTGTGTGTGTGTGTGTGTGTGTGTGTGTGTGTGTGTGTGTGTGTGTGTGTGTGTGTGTGTGTATATATATTAATATACATTTAATACCATGTGTGCACGCGTGCGCGTATTATGTATTATACACACAATAATCACCGTATGCCACATAAATAGTGAAAAGTAGCATTCAAATTTTATGATTGTCTAGTATATCTGTTATGTGAATAATTACATATATATTTATATACTATATTTCTCAATGAGAGAAGCTCCACGCCAGTAGCTAATTCTGGTGGGAATAACCGAGTATTTCTTTCACGCGATATTTTTATCATTCGATATTCAACGATATATGTTACACAAGCGAAGATCGAAAGCAATATTTCATAAATTGTGAATTCAAATTTCGATGTTACAGATATACGAAGATCTCTATCTTTTATTTATAACAATGAAAATTGACAATTAATATAAGATCTTATTTTGCATATCTGTAGCAAGGAAAATTAAATTCACGAAATGATATCATTTTCGATCCCCTTGATTTAACAGTACTAAAAATAGAATTTTCTTCTCAGAACATTAAATTATATTAATTACTTATCTAACGAGAATTACAACATCGAATGTCAGCACCTTATTATTTTACTTACGTATAGCGTGATAAACGTATACTTATTTAATACGCTTTTATTTGTAACTGAACTTGTTATATACTAAAGTAAATATATTCTTTTCAAGAGAAATGATAAATGCCTTATCGAGTCAGAACACTGGTTGTTCGTGTGAGTTAAAATGATGCTTTATTGTATTTTGATAATAACAACGTTTCGATCCTAATTTGGATCTTTTTCAAGTCTCAAAGTTCATATAATAATTAACATTGTTAACATTGTGCTCCCTAGAACAATGTAACAATCATAGAAAATAGAATACAAGTTGTCATGTCAAGAGTTAAACTACTTCTAATGAGTGTTCTGACTCGATAAGGCATTTATCATTTCTCTTGGATTTATTCAACCGAGTCAATTTTATTAAGTTATATTTTTATATTTATATTCTTTTCGTTATGTTTGTTCAATTAAAAACAGATTGATCTTAACATATATATTTTATCCTTATAAAAATATATGTTACAAGAAATAAACACAATTCATATTGTATTATGCTAAAGGCGACAGCATCAATAAGGAATACCGTAACTGTAAACACTAAAACGTTAAAATGATTATCTTCTTGAAAATGTTTTGTTTATGAATTGTAATTGAACTGAATTTTATCATAATTAACTAAATACATAACTTTTTTAAATGTTACTGATAAACTGATATTGAAAAATAATTGTAATTGAAAATATTGTCAATGTGTACTTTTCATTGTTGCTATTAAAAATAATTAAAAATAATATAGACCATGTAATGGATCAATATAAAACTATGATCTGTTCCTTTTGTCACATTATGTTATATAAAACTGGGACAATATATTAAATGCAATTGAACACAGATATACATATATATATATATATATATATA